AATACCTTTCCTTCGTACGACCAAGGGAAACAAGCTTCCCTTAATGTGTATACAACACTAAACACTCAAGAACAAGACTCTCTTTAAGAGTAGATAATGAGTAAACTAAGTACGCTCAAGAACAACTCAAACTTCACACAAATTGGCTCTAGAAAGCTATGGAAAATGATGTTGTTTGAATGCAATGATAATATGAATAATGTGAAGTGAATTGATGAGAAAAGCAAACCCAAACACCCCTTTTTATAGTGCCAAAATAGGCTCCAACGGACCAACACATTAAAGGGGTGATTGGCTTGATTTATGGAATTGAATAAATTTGGGATCTGCAGGATATTGGCTTCCCATCGATGTTTAGACTCACCCATCGCTGGTAAGCCAATTTTCCTTCAGTTTTGAAGCCAATGGTCACCTACCCATCGATGACCTACCCATCGATGGGTAAATGCTTCCCATCGCTGGGTGGGAGGTTGACTTTCAAACAAGGAAAGAATCAGTCTTAAATGACTTGCAACGGTCATGCCTAACCAGCCATGGGTATGCCCTCCCATCGCTGGGTGCCCATCGATGGGTAAAGGTTCCCATCGCTGGGTAAGGGCATTCTGCCTTGTGAAAATGTTGGACCAAGGCTTGAAAAGCGATGGGTAGAGCTTCTCATCGCTGTTTGGCATGGTTCTGGAATTCAATTGGGCTGAAGGCTACTTACCCATCGCTGGGTAATATCTCCCATCACTGGGTGGCATGATTCTGGAATCCCGGAATCACTTACCCATGGCTGGGTGATATCTACCATCGCTGGGTAGATGGCTAGCCCAGAACCATGGCCTAGCCGACCGGTGCTGAAACCCGACCGAAAAATGCAAAGTTCTAAAAAGTAAAAACTAAGTATTTAAAACACTTATTTAATGTATTGTGATGTCAAAACAAGCTTTGTAAGTTGAAAACCAAGTCAATGCCGTACACGGGTGGTTTTTACCAAAAGATAAAACCGACTCAACAAAGAGCCAGTGTGTGAGGGTTGGGTCGGTCTTGATCACAATTATGACCGACTCAACAATACTAAAGATTGCGGTCTTCGTTCTTGGTCTCTTTTAGCTCTTGTTCTTTATCTTCGTTCTTCGCCTTGTATATTCAATGTTTGTCTTGATCACGGCGGTTTGGCATTATCAAAACCTGTTACAGAAACGAACACGGCTTTAGTAAGAAAACGTGACAAGCCCGTGTTTCAACAGCTTGTCACGAAGAAGTTTTGTAAACTTCTAAGGAAAAAAGAGAAGCGGAAGGAATGCTCGTCAATTCAAAAGACAAAGGGCATATATCTCTTGGGGTGGCGACTCCGGCGACGAGTCAACCGACCAAGACAAGGATTAAACTGCTGTTGAAACACGGGCTTGTCACGTTTTCGTACTAAAGCCGTGTTCGTTTTTGTGACAGGTTTTGATAATGCCAAACCGCCGTGATCAAGACACAAATTGAATATACAAGGCGAAGAACGAAGATCAGAACAAGAGCTAAAGGAAGACCAAGATCGAAGACCATAGTCTTAGTATCGTTGAGTCGGTCTTTATTGTGATCAAGACCAACCAAATCTTTACACCTTGGCTCTTTAGGCTAAAATCTTTTTATTGCATTTCTCACATCATAAAAATGTTTTTCAAACATGTTTAAGTCATTAAAAACACTTGGTGTTCGCCCAAACCAAAAACTAGGCCATCCGGCGTTCGGCATTCGGTTATCGGCGTTGGTTTTTGGCGTCCAAACCAACTAAGTGGTTTACAACCTTTTATGATTGGTTTTTACTCTTTGGCATGTTTAAACAGTTCTCCAACACAAACACCTTAAAAACAACCTTTCGTTTTTGGTCGTTTGGGAAAAACCACGTAAAATGGCATAAACTTGGCTAGCCGTGGTTTTTACCCAAATGACGTGGTTTTTAAAGTTTCTCACTTGATTTCTTAGCCAAATACCTCAGATAAGTGCTTTAAACACTTGGTTTTTATTTTGGAGAACTTTGATGTTTTCGGTCGGTTTTTGCATCGGTTGGCTAGGCCGTGGTTAAGGCAAAAACAATGGGTTTTTGGCTAACCACCCACCCAGCGATGGGAAGAACTTCACATCGATGGGTAGGCGGTCCTTCAGCCTAACCATGTTCCAGAACCATGCCAAACAGCGATGAGAAGTTCTACCCATCGTTGTTAAAGCCTTGGTCCAACATCAACACAAGGCAGAACGACCTTACCCAGCGATGGGGACTTTACCCCATCGATGGGAACCTAGCGATGGGAAGGCTAAACCATCGATGGGAAGGTATGACCATTGGAAGTAATTTAAGGTTGATTCTTTCCTTGTTTGGAAGTCAACCTCCCACCTAGCGATGGGAAGCTTGTACCCATCGATGGGTAGGTGACCGTTGGCTTCAAAACTAAAGGAAAATTGGCCTACCAGCGATGGGTAGAAACCATACATCGCTGGGAAGCCAATATCCTGCAGATCCCAAATTTATTCAATCCCATAAATCAAGCCAATCACCCCTTTAATGTATTGGTCCGTTGGAGCCTACTTTGGCACTATAAAAAGGGGTGTTTGGGTCTGCTTTTCTTATAAAATTCACTTCACAATATTCATATTATCATTGCATCCAAACAACATTATTTTCCATAGCTTTCTAGAGCCAATTTGTGAAGTTTGAGTTGTTCTTGAGCGTATATAGTTTACTAACATCCACGTTATGGGAAGTTTGAAAGTCTTGTTCTTGAGTGTTCTTAGTGTTGTATACACGTTAAGGGAAGCTTGTTTCCCTTGGTTGTATGAAGGAAAGGTATTTTCCTTCGGGTTGAAGTCTTGGAGTGCGGTATCTCCGAGCAAGTGTTGTTGAGGCTCGTGGGACTCGAGTTCTCAGGTTGTAACGGTTTGTTAAGCACTCGTAAGCTTAACGGAAGTAGTATAGCTCGAGAGAGTCTCTCGAGAGACTGGATTAGCCACACGTTGTGGTGAACCAGTATAAATCTTGGTGTGCTCCCTTTACGCTTTCTACGCTCTTTACTTTTCACGTTTTAATTTTTTTTATTCCTGCGATTTCTACGATCAAACGCTATTCACCCCCCCCCCCTCTAGCGTTGGTCACTTATTCTAACAATTGGTATCGGAGCCTAACTCGCGTCCAAACTTAACCGTTTGAGAGTAAAAGCGATCATGGGTTCTTCTTCTAGAAATTTGTATGCAGGAATAGGTGAAGGGCAATCAACCACACGGCCACCTTTTTTTTATGGAACCAATTATACATATTGGAAAGAACGAATGATAATCTATATTCGTTCAACGAACTTCCAATTATGGTTGGTTATCAAAAACAGGGAAGAGGTGCCAATGAAGAAAGTCGGAGAGAAGTTGATCCCTAAGACCGAAGACGAATTTGATGCCGAAGACATCAAGAAAGTAGAGAACTATGCGAAGGCGATTAACATGCTCTACTGCGCGATCAACCCCGATGACTACCGCAAGATCTCCTGCTACTCAACCGCCAAGGAGATGTGGGATAAGCTCGAGGTGACGTACGAAGGAACGGACCAAGTACGTGAAGCCAAGATCGACTTCCTCACCCAAGAGTATGAGATGTTCAGGATGAAGGAGCACGAAAAGATCGACGACATGTTCGACCGATTCTCCAAGATAGTCAACGATCTTCATGCATTAAAGAAGACTTACACTGACAGGGATCTTGTGCGAAAGATCCTACGGAGCTTGAAATCTGAATGGCGATCTAAGGCCGATGCCATCTATGAATCAATCGGCACATCAAATGTCACCATCGACGGTTTAAGAGGTAATTTAAAAACTTATGAATCTACTATACTTAACCCGTCTTTGAATGACCAAATGAAAGGCATAGCATTAAAAGCCTTCAAAGAACCATCGATAAACGACACAAGCGACGATGATGAAGTCAAGCTTGTCATGAAGAAGTTATGCAAACTTCTAAGGAAGAAAGAAAAGGTTGAGGATGGCCCTGTGTGCTATGGATGTGGTGAAGCCGGGCACATCAAGAACAAATGCCCAAGAAGCAGAAGGAACGCTCATCACTTCAAAAAGCAAAGAGCATACATCTCTTGGGGTGGCGACTCCGGCGATGAATCAAGCGAGCAAGAGGAAGACGAAGAAGCAAACCTTTGTCTCAAAGCTCAAGAAGAAGAGGAGTCCGCCAACGACGAAAACCAAGAGGTATGTAATTCTTCTACCGTTTCTTATTCTCTTGAAGAAATGCAAGAAGCTCTCCAAGAGCTTTATGACGAGTTTGTTAGCGCTTCTAAAACCAACAAAGCCTTAAAGAAACGTTTCTCTAATCTTGAAACTGACCTTGAAAAACTTCAAAAGGAAAACGAAAAACTAAAAGAGGAAAATAAGTTTTATGGTAAAAGAAGCGCCGACAAACCCGAGAGCTCTACGAAACATTGTGACACTTGCATAGCTTTGAAAGAACAAGTCACAAACCTTGAGAGTACAGTAAAATTTAATACTCCACACAAAGATCTTAATTTACTCCTTGACACTATGCACTTTTCTAAAGAAGGAATAGGTTTTAATAAAAATGAAGCTAAGGATAAAGAAAACGTTGAGCAAACACCTAGAAAACCTCCTAAGGCTCAACGTAAGAAAGCTAAAAATCAAGTTAATAGAAAACCTAGTCAATCTAAGAACACTGGACAACCTAGACAAAAAACTAGGAATGAAAACGTTCATGGTAGACAACCTAAGAAAAATTATCAAAATGATTTTGTGCATAAAAATAATTTTTCTCAAAATAGAAGAGACAATATGAGAACATGTAAAGCCCCGAAATCTGGCCCAAAAGAATTAATTAAATTGTTAGAGCAATTGATTACGAATTGGGCCCAAAAAGGGGTTAAAATTATAATTTGGATTTTAAGCCCAACTTTTATGTCATCTCGTAGGAAATATTTTTGTGATCGCGTCGGTTCAGACGGCTCGCGAATCGGAGTTATGGAACTCAAGTTATGACCATTTAATCAGGTATTTTGGGTCCGAAGCCCAATCCTTTTTGGAATGGGACCATTAAATAAACCTAAACCACACAAACCTTATCTTATTTCTCCTTCTTCGATTNTTTGGATTTTAAGCCCAACTTTTATGTCATCTCGTAGGAAATATTTTTGTGATCGCGTCGGTTCAGACGGCTCGCGAATCGGAGTTATGGAACTCAAGTTATGACCATTTAATCAGGTATTTTGGGTCCGAAGCCCAATCCTTTTTGGAATGGGACCATTAAATAAACCTAAACCACACAAACCTTATCTTATTTCTCCTTCTTCGATTCTTCTTCTTCGTCCTTCTTCTACTTCCTTCTTCTTCTTCTTCTTCTTCTTTCTTCTTCGCCAGTAGCGCCGTCCCTCGATCGCCACCTCTTCGCCGATCGACCTCCACTGCCAACGCCGGTCGCTCGCCGCCGGAAGCCCGCCGCCATCATCGCCGTCCAATTAGAGCAGCCAGCCTCCGGCGTCGCCCTTCCCCAGCCTCGCCGCACCAGCCAACAGCGACCTTACCGTCGCCGGAAGCCAGTCGCTGCCCAGCGCCGCCGCTGCTTCCTTCGCCACCTGTCGCTGCCTCATCGCCGACGAATTGCAGCGCCGCCGCGCCGAGCGCCAGACGTCGCCTCCACTGCCGGCGTCCTTCCTCGCCGTCGAGCGCAGCGCCGCCAGTCGCCTCCAGCCGCCGTCGCCGAGCTTCCATCTGTTGTTTCACCTTCGCCGGCCGTCCGCCGCCAGTCGCTGCCCAGCGCCGCCGACGACGATTCACCTCGTCGTTCTGCCGGACGTCGCCTCCACTGCCGGCGTCCTTCCCCGCCGTCGATTGCAGCGCCGCCAGTCGCTGTTCATCGCCGTCGAGCTGCCGCTCCGCCACTGTCGCCGGCGTCAGTCACCGTCGCCGCATCCGGCCGCTGCCCCGAGTTGATATCGCCGGCAGATTAACCCCCACGCCGGATTGATTGGTCAATTTCGTATTTTGACTCGATTTGACCCGTTCGGTTGATTTCGTTGATTTGTCTTCCGTTCGAGCTATCGATTCGATTTCGGCGTAATCCAGGTCCGTACTATGAAGTTAATAGTATTCAGAATCGATTTAATGGTTTAGATCGTTATAAGTGTTTATGCTATAATTTGGCTAAATTGGTTAATTGAATTAAATTGATTGTTTGAATTGAATTGTTGAGGATTGTGAATTGACTGAACAGGTTTGACTTTGACTTGGGTTAGGTCCTGTTTGACTTGGACTTTGACTGGATATTCTGTTGTCGTAGGTTTGACCGAATGGTTAAATCCAAACTTTAATGAATTAGTTAAGTTAATTAATTAATTCTAATCGGTGATTAAGGTCAATTGGTTTATTGTGTTGAACATAGAAACTGGTCATCGCTCGGGCGGCTGCAGGGCCTTGTCAGTGAGGTTAAGACGTGCGCACGAGGGTCTGCGATCTTGGGTTTGAGGCCATCGCCCGAGGGATCCTACCTCCACCGAATTGAGGCCATCTTCGGTATTACGGATTGAGGCTATCTCCGTCATAGGCATTAAATGTTAAGTGGTTTGACTTTGGTGAAAGTCTAAATTGGTTTGACCGGTGGTCAAAGAGTTCATGAGAAACCCGTAACACCTAAATCGTTTTGAAAAGAAAGAAAATAAATTGACTGTTGGTCAACCGTCTAAAGAACCGAATGTAAAGTTGAATTGATTTTTATTAAAAGGATAAACATATGCACGATCTTAATTGTTGAATTATTATGTTTATTCTTGTGCTACAATGGAGTACCACTCAGCGTCAATGCTGAGCGGATAGCGTTGTTTTCTTTTGCTGTCCGTAGGTGAACAGACAGATGAACCTAGAGCCGATCCCAGAGGGCATTGAGGAGGAGATGTACGATGGTGTGGCTGTCTCTTTAATCTGTTGATTATGCTTTATTTAATTAACTTTAATGCTTATTACGTTTTCGGGCTAGATCCCAAGTTGTTTGACTTTAAAAAGGCTTCCGCATTATTTTAAATTACTCCAATGGATTTTTATATGTATTGATAGAACGTTTGTTTAAAATTGTTTTGAAAATGTCGCAAATTTGGATACCAATTCAGTGACACACCGGTCCGCTGTCTCACGGGTTTGGGTCATGCGGGTTGGGGTGTTACATTTTGGTATCGGAGCATTTGGTTTTAAAATCGGTCTTTGGACCCTTTCAAAATAAAATACAATGAATAATTCAGCCGCATCTGCATCTCACGTAACTCCTCTGCCCCGGGAAGGTAATAAGTATTTATAGCTTTATCTGTTATATGTTAAGATATGATTTGGGAATTTCCTTATTATTTTAGAATGAGTCAAGAATCGACCCACGGTCAGTACGTTCCGGAGCCGGAGCACGTGAGCGTGCACACGGTGAACACCGAGGGTTCGAGTTTCACGCCTCCGGGTGACGGAGGGCAACAGCAGAATCAACCTGCGCCAGCGGGACAGCCACCAGCTGTACCACCGCCAGTCGTACCACCTCCAGTGATGCCACCGTTGGCGATACCGCCGGTGGCCTACGAGCAGATGTTCCCGGCCATGATGGCCCATTATATGCAGCACATGGCGCAGTTTATGCCCATGTTCCAGCCACCGCCACCACCACAGCCGCAGCCGCGCATCGTCACCTTCAAGATGTTGAAGGATAATGGAGCGGAAGTGTTCCGAGGAGAGAATATGGGGGAGCCCCAGATTGCATTGGATTGGCTTGAGCAGATGGACCGGGTACTCAAAAATTTGAGAGTCCCAGATGCTGATCGCTCAGAGTTGGCGTCACAGATGTTCCGGAAGGGAGCATATGATTGGTGGAAGCGCATTGACCAAGATCCACACACGCCCAAGCCGTGGACCTGGGATCGCTTTGATCGAGCCTTCACGAAGGAGTACATACCCACCCGGTACCGCGAGGAGAGGCGCGATGAGTTCGTTGCGCTTAAGCAGGAGGGGATGTCACTGCCTGAACTGAGACAGAGGTTCGACTACTTGTCCCAGTACGCGACGAGTCTAGTCTCCACTCCGGAGGATCGTTTGAATGAGTTCGTCAAGAAGCTACGGCCGGACTTGAGGCCGTACGCCGCACTGATCACGACGACAGATTTTAATGCGGCGTACGATTTGATTGTGAAAACGGAGAAGAGCTTGGATGATTTGCAGGCAACCAAGAAGGAGGATCGAGCGACGAAAGACCCGCGACCCGCGGCCAGCACTGGGCCGAGCGGGAAGAGTTTTGGATTCGGGGGAAAGAGGTACGAGAAGGGTTCTTCGAGTGCGCCACCGCCTAAGAGGAGTAAGTCGAGGCCGTCTCCGTCGGCCGCCGCTAGCAACTCGAACAGAACGAGGAGCCACCCGCAATGTGTACATTGTGGTAGGCATCACCCGGGAGAGTGTTGGCTCGCCCATGGCTTATGTTTGGGTTGTGGTCAGCCAGGGCATTTCAGGAGGCATTGCCCGACAAACCCTAGCAGCGAGCCTGTTTTACCTAGAGCTCAGGATCAGCCTGCCGCATCACATCCAGCACGGAGTCAGCAGTCTACGGCCGCAAATAATCAGCAGAAAGCACGTCCGCAGCAGTCAGTCCAGGCACCAGCGCGTACCTACGCCATGCATGGGCGCACAAATCCTAGTCCCGATGTTATCTTGGGTACGTTCATACTATTTGATTCGGTTATGCATGCCTTGATCGATCCGGGTTCTACGCTCTCCTATATCTGTGTTGGCATGCCTGCTAATTCTGCGATTGTGAGGAGTGACCTTGAGATACCTACCATTGTATCGAATCCGCTAGGACATAGCATGCGTCTTCATCACATTTATCATAGATGTCCGTTGTCCGTGCAAGGGAAGCATCTCCCTGCGGATTTGATCAACTGAAGGAGTGCCTGACCCAGGCACCAGTCTTGATTCAACCTACTCCTGGCATCGAGTATACCATCTATAGTGACGCATCTCATAGCGGCTTAGGTTGTGTACTGATGCAGTTGAGTAAGGTAGTGGCCTACGCATCGAGACAGTTGAAGACTCACGAGGAGAATTACCCGACACATGATTTAGAGTTGGCAGCCGTGGTGTTCGCCTTGAAGATTTGGCGCCACTACATCTTTGGAGAGAGGATTNAACCTGGGAGACCGAAGAATCTATGCGAACTCAGTACCCTCATCTCTTCGACGACCAATGACTCAGGTAATTTCGAGGACGAAATTCTTTTTAAGGGGGGGAGAAATGTAACGCCCCGAAATCTGGCCCAAAAGAATTAATTAAATTGTTAGAGCAATTGATTACGAATTGGGCCCAAAAAGGGGTTAAAATTATAATTTGGATTTTAAGCCCAACTTTTATGTCATCTCGTAGGAAATATTTTTGTGATCGCGTCGGTTCAGACGGCTTGCGAATCGGAGTTATGGAACTCAAGTTATGACCATTTAATCAGGTATTTTTGGTCCGAAGCCCAATCCTTTTTGGAATGGGACCATTAAATAAACCTAAACCACACAAACCTTATCTTATTTCTCCTTCTTCGATTCTTCTTCTTCGTCCTTCTTCTTCTTCCTTCTTCTTCTTCTTCTTCTTCTTTCTTCTTCGCCAGTAGCGTCGTCCCTCGATCGCCGCCTCTTCGCCGATCGACCTCCACTGCCAGCGCCGGTTGCTCGCCGCCGGAAGCCCGCCGCCATCATCTCCGTCCAATTAGAGCAGCCAGCCGCCGGCGTCGCCCTTCTCCAGCCTCGCCGCACCAGCCAACAGCGACCTTACCGTCGCCAGAAGCTAGTCGCTGCCCAGCGCCGCCGCTGCTTCCTTCGCCACCTGTCGCCGCCTCATCGCCGACGAATTGCAGCGCCGCCGCGCCCAGCGCCGGACGTCGCCTCCAGCCGCCGTCGCCGAGCTTCCAACTGTTGTTTCACCTTCGCCGGCCGTCCGCCGCCAGTCGCTGCCCAGCGCCGCCGACGACGGTTCACCTCGTCGTTCTGCCGGACGTCGCCTCCACTGCCGGCGTCCTTCCCCGCCGTCGATTGCAGCGCCGCCAGTCGCTGTTCATCGCCGACGACGGTTCACCTCGTCGTTCTACCGGACGTCGCCTCCACTGCCGGCGTCCTTCCCCGCCGTCGATTGCAGCACCGCCAGTCGCTGTTCATCGCCGTCGAGCTGCCGCTCCGCCACTGTCGCCGGCGTCAGTCACCGTCGCCGCATCCGGCCGCTGCCCCGAGTTGATATCGCCGGCAGATTAACCCCCACGCCGGATTGATTGGTCAATTTCGTATTTTGACTCGATTTGACCCGTTCGGTTGATTTCGTTGATTTATCTTCCGTTCGAGCTATCGATTCGATTTCGGCGTAATCCAGGTCCGTACTATGAAGTTAAAAGCATTCAGAATCGATTTAATGGTTTAGATCGTTATAAGTGTTTATGCTATAATTTGGCTAAATTGGTTAATTGAATTAAATTGATTGTTTGAATTGAATTGTTGAGGATTGTGAATTGACTGAACAGGTTTGACTTTGACTTGGGTTAGGTCCTGTTTGACTTGGACTTTGACTGGATATTCTGTTGTCGTAGGTTTGACCGAATGGTTAAATCCAAACTTTAATGAATTAGTTAAGTTAATTAATTAATTCTAATCGGTGATTAAGGTCAATAGGTTTATTGTGTTGAACATAGAAACTGGTCATCGCTCGGGCGGCTGCAGGGCCTTGTCAGTGAGGTTAAGACGTGCGCACGAGGGTCTGCGATCTTGGGTTTGAGGCCATCGCCCGAGGGATCCTACCTCCACCAAATTGAGGCCATCTTCGGTATTACGGATTGAGGCTATCTCCGTCATAGGCATTAAATGTTAAGTGGTTTGACTTTGGTGAAAGTCTAAATTGGTTTGACCGGTGGTCAAAGAGTTCATGAGAAACCCGTAACACCTAAATCGTTTTGAAAAGAAAGAAAATAAATTGACTGTTGGTCAACCGTCTAAAGAACCGAATGTAAAGTTGAATTGATTTTTATTTAAAGGATAAACATATGCACGATCTTAATTGTTGAATTATTATGTTTATTCTTGTGCTACAATGGAGTACCACTCAGCGTCAATGCTGAGCGGATAGCGTTGTTTTCTTTTGCTGTCCGTAGGTGAACAGACAGATGAACCTAGAGCCGATCCCAGAGGGCATTGAGGAGGAGATGTACGATGGCGTGGCTGTCTCTTTAATCTGTTGATTATGCGTTATTTAATTAACTTTAATGCTTATTACGTTTTCGGGCTAGATCCCAAGTTGTTTGACTTTAAAAAGGCTTCCGCATTATTTTAAATTACTCCGATGGATTTTTATATGTATTGATAGAACGTTTGTTTAAAATTGTTTTGAAAATGTCGCAAATTCGGATACCAATTCAGTGACACACCGGTCCGCTGTCTCACGGAATTGGGTCATGCGGGTTGGGGGGTTACAGAACACCTAGAAATGATCCTTTTGAAAACATGCATAAACCATCCTTTTCTCAAAATAGGACAAACATGGTTAGGCCCCCTAGGCATATGTTCAACCCAAACGTAGTATGCCATTATTGCAATAGGGTAGGACATATAGCTCCCGTGTGTTTCACCAGACATAGGCACTTCACCTACAATGAAACACACAACGTATTTGGTGCTAATAAAAAGAAATCCTTTGGAAAAGGATATTCGAGTCATAAACAATCTCCACAGGACAATGCACAAAAGAAACCTTATTATTTCTTCTACTTTGACGAAAAGAAGAATGTCCACATTCTGTTACCGGAACCGACACAAATCATACCGAGATATCGGCACTCCGTTCAGGTAGATTAGAACCCGTTGACCACGAGACGATGGGTTGGGCAAGGCAACTCCTAAACAATCATCTAATCGCGTGAGTGTGAGTGTGTGTGTGGGCGTATTGAAACTAATTTTGGGTGTGTGTGGGCAATAAAGGTTAACTAACCCCCAAGGACCCATAGACATATTTTGGGTACCAAAGCGGTGCTTCTTTTTTGCAGGGACAGTTCGAAGTGAAGAAATATGGAAATCAGGGGGAACTAGCGATGGGTGGGTTCATACCATCGCTGGGAGGGAAGTTTATTTTTTTCAGAACCCCTCTTACCATCGATGGGAACTTCTTCCCATCGATGGGTGATTGACTCTATTTTTTAAAAAAACTTTTTAACGGATTTCTAGAAGTCCACTACCCATCGATGGTAACTTTGTACCATCGCTGGGTGAATGACTTCAGTTTTAAAAAAAAAATTCAGAACCATCCTACCCATCGATGGGAACTTCCTCCCATCGCTGGGTGTTTGCCACTTTTGTTTAAAAATATTTTAACAGATTTCCAGTGACCACCTTCCCATCGTTGGGAGACTCCAAACATCGCTGGGAAGGCAGCCTTGAACCTTTCTTCTCTTTCCAGTAGGCACCCTCCCATCGATGCGTAAATCTATACATCGCTGGGAAGGCAGCCCTCTTTTCTTCCTCGATTTCCAGTAGCGACCTTCCCATCGATGGGTAGATCCTACCATCGCTGGGAAGGCGGTTGCAGTTCAAAAATTAATAACTGTTGGGCACCCAATTAAATGCACAACAGCCATATTTTTTGAATTCAAACGAGATCCACACCTTTCCCTATATATATCCTTCATGTTTTTTCATTCTCACACACCATTTTCACATCAAAACCTCTACCTTTAGCCCTTTTCATCATTCTTTTCTCAGCCGCCTCAACAATGGCCGGTGGAAAATCAAAATCAAAGGCTTCCAAGAAGAAGGTCACCGTCGAAGCCTCAAGCTCTGCGCCTAAGCCATTCCCCTATCTCGATGGGTCTTTCTTGGAGTTCGGGTCGGAGGAGGAACTCAACCAATTCCACACGCACTTTGCCAAGCATCCCATTTCTCCGCCTAGGGTGCTGCCCGAGTTATACCCTCAACAAAAGGGGTACCACGACCTCGACAATCAGGTTCAAGCGTCGGGTCTGTGGTTGTTCGTCTCCAGGAGCCGCCAGTCCTACAATCCCGCCTTTGTTCGAGCCTTCTACTCAAATCTCCACCGCGACGGGGACACCATCTGCAGCAGCATCAATCTCTATGACATAGAGATTGACTTGCCGACCTTTGCACGGATCGCAGGGCTACCCATCCGCGGTGACGACATCGCGACGTACGGTGGCGACGATTGGATCCTCAACAACGAGGCAGTGGTCATCCGAGAGCTAGGGATCACCAACCTCATCCGCCACAGCGGCGCGCCAACGATTCACTCGGCCCCACCTGACAAGGATCCATCCGGCGTTCGGCCAAACCAAAAACCAAGCCATCCGGCGTTCGGCTTTCAGAAACCGGCGTTCGGCATTTGGTTTTCGGCGTTGGTTTTTGGCATCCGAACCAACCAAGTGGTTTTCAACATTTTATGATTGTTTTTTACTCCTTGGCATGTTTAAACAGTTCTCCAGTAAAAACACCTTGAAAACCACCTTTCGTTTTTTGTCGTTTGGCAAAAACCACGCAAAACGGCATAAACTTGGCTAGCCGTGGTTCTTACTCAAATGACGTGGTTTTTAAAGTGTCTCACTTGATTTCTTAGCCAAATACATCAAATAAGTGTTTTAAACACTTGGTTTTTATTTTGGAGAACTTTGGATTTTTCGGTCAGTTTTTGCATCGGTTGGGAAGGCATAACCATCGCTGGGAAGGCATAACCATCGCTGGGAAGGCATGACCATTGTAAGTCATTTAAGGTTGATTCTTTCCTTGTTTGGAAGTCAACCTCCCAGCCAGCGATGGGGAGCTTGTACCCATCGATGGGTAGGTGCCCGTTGGCCTCAAAACTGAAGGAAAATTGGCTTACCAGCGATGGGTAAGTCCATACATTGCTGAGAAGCAAATATCCTGCAGATCCACAATTTATTCAATCCCATAAATCAAGCCAATCACCCCTTTAATGCATTGGTCCGTTGAAGCCTATTTTGGCACTATAAAAAGAGGTGTTTGGGTCTGCTTTACACAATCAATTCACTTCACATTACACATATTATCATTGCATTCATATAACATCTTTTTCCGTAGCCTTCTAGAGCCAAATTTGTGAAGTTTGAGTTGTTCTTGAGCGTATATAGTTTACTCAACATCTACTCTTAAAGAGAGTCTTGTTCTTGAGTGCTTAGTGTTGTATACACGTTAAAGGAAGCTTGTTTCCCTTGGTTGTATGAAGGAAAGGTATTTTTCCTTCGGGTTGAAGTCTTGGATTGTGGTATCTCCGAGCAAGTGTATTGAGGCTCGTGGGACTCGAGTTCTCAGGTTTTAACGGTTTGTTAAGCACCCGTAAGCTTAACGGAAGTAGTGTAGCTCGAGAGAGTCTCTTGGGAGATTGGACTAGCCACACGTTGTGGTGAACCAGTATAAATCTTGGTGTGCTCTCTTTACTCCTTTTTATTCCGCTCTTTACTTTATCCCTGCGATTTCTACGATCAAACGCTATTCACCTCCCCCCCCCCTCTAGCGTTGGTCACTTATTCTAACAATAGAGAGAAAGACCAAAGTAGGACTAAACATTGAAAATATACCAAAATAGGATTTCCATGTTTTTATTCTCGAAATAGGACTTACATTACTAAACATGGTCATGTACATTACCAAAAAAGTATAGTAATGTGCACATGTACAATGCTACATTAACACAGTGCAAAGTCCTATTTCGGGAAAAAAACGTGGAAGTCCTATTTTAGTATTTTTCACTATGTTTTAGTCCTATTTAGGGTGCTTTTTATATTTGTTAAGTAATAATAGAAATCATCTTATGTAGCACTCTAAGACACCTTATATTACACATATAGCACTCCTAATTATTTTTCACACATTTAGCTATTTATGGCGTGGATCTCTTACAATCATACTCTTTTTTGGTAGTGTGGAATGGTCGTGGTATGGATATACTTTCTCGCAGTGTGTTATGTCCATGTTTTGGAAGTGTATACGAACTTAAACACATTTTTTGGTAGTGTAGAATGATCATGCTTTGGCAGTGTGGATACAAGTTATATTGGGTATGACGGCAGTGTGTTATGCCCCATATTCTGGAAGTGTATACTAATTTAAACACTTTTTTTGGCACTGTGAAATGGAAGGACAAATTTGAAATTGCATCCACACGAGTTCCAATGTCCCGTAGCAGTGCTATATTGGATATTTTAAGCATATATTAGTGCTATTATCGTAGTTCTCCCAAGTAATAACTCACGTATAAAATTTTAAGAGCAAAATAGGGAAAAAGACCAAAGTAGGACTAAACATTGAAAATATACCAAAATAGGACTTCTATGTTTTTATTTTCAAAATAAGACTTAAAATATATTTATATTACCAAACAGGGTCAAGACTTAAAATGAATTAACATTACCAAACGAAATACTACATATAATTTACCTTAGTCAATACAATGAATCTTAAAATGGGAGAAAATTGACCAATTCTAGAGAACGTACTTTTGAAAAAGGAGTACACTACACATCATATCTGATGTAAGTGAAAAAATATTATCCTGTCCTAATTTCAATGTCTTATTACACATAATAAAATTTGGCTTGGTTTCATTTCAATATTAGAAATCACCCTAAATAAGATTAAAACATAAAGAAAAGTATAAAAATCCCCATGTCTTTTTTTCCGAAATATAACTTTGCACTGTAGTAATATGACATTGTACATATGCACATTACTATACTTTTTTACTATTGTACATTACCATGTTTAATTTGGTAATGTAAGTCCGATTTTGAAAATAAAAACATGGAAGTCTTATTTCGGTGTGTGTGTGTGTCTATATATATATATATATATATATATATATATATATATATATATATATATATATATATATATATATATATATATATATATATATATATATATATATATATATATATAGCACTAAGATATACTCCCTGCGTTCATTTAAACCTTCCCATTTTGACTTTGGGCAAAAAATAAGGAAAATATAATTTTGGTTGACTTTCTAATTTTGCCTCTAATGTGATGGGTAGAAGTAAGATGTGATAGTTTGAAAAGTATGATGTGATAGGTAGGGTATGAAAAAGTAGAGATAACAGTGGTTTTTTAATAGAAAGTGGAAGTGTTTTAGGGAATTAGAAAAAAAACGAAAGGGGAAGGGTTTTATGTGAAGGAGGGAGTACTTCTTTCGTCCCATAAATATGTTCTTACTTTGACTTTTAGAAAATTTAAGGAAAGGATAGTTTTGCATTGTCTTTCCAAAAATACCATTAATGTAATGGTAAAAGTAGAAAGTGATGAGTAGATTATAAGTAAAAAGGTATGATGTAATAGGTAAGTTAAGAATATAATTAGTAGGACAAAAAGTGATTTTTTAATAGAAAATAGAAGAAGTTTGTGTGATAGGAACAAAAAGAGAAAATGTCTTCAGGGCGGAGGGAGTAATAAATTTCTCTACAAAGCAACACAAGTTTTAATTTTCATTACTAGTATTCTAATTAATTAATTAATTATTAATTATTAATTATTAATTCTGTTGTACTAAAATGCCATTTATACTCCATCCGCCCATAATTTATCTTCTCACTTCTCTTATTTGTCCATCCATAAAGTATCTTCCCGTTTCCTTTTTTGGTAAATAATTTTTCTTTTAACCACAACACTACCCTCACCCGGCCTCACTTTTACTAATCAATTACTATCTATACCTACACGTTATTTCACTTTTTATAATGACCAAAGACAAATATGGAATGAAAAGTCAAAACATTTTTTTTACTTTTCCTTAATTTACGTGTAAAGTCAAAGCGGAAAGTTTATTTTTGGACGGAGGGAATATGATTTTATATTTACTGACCCATCACGTTCTACTGTCCTTCACCAGCCGCTGATCACAAAATGCCGATGCCAGTGTCCCGTCTAGGGCTGTTCACATTTAGGTCCGGACCGGAAAACCGACCGAACCGGACCGTTAGGTCCAGATCAGACCGAACCCAGACCGAATGGATTTTGGGTCGGTCTTCGGTCCAGAAAATTTAGGCATTCGGGTTTCGGTCCGGTCCGGTCCAAACCCGAAATGATTTAGGTCCGGACCCATTGGACCTAATGACCCTACTGGACCTAAAAGACCTAAATACTAAAACTCTAATGCTCTATTTTAATAGATATTTTAATTTATTTAATTAAAAAGGTTTTTTATTAAGTAATTTTAAAAAAATCTAAAAAAAATGTTTCATATTTGTTTTTTGGTTCTACATTGAAGTAGTTCATATTGTGTATCCATGTTAAGGTTGCATATTTTTTATATTCATTTTCTATCTGAATGGTACAAAGTAAAAAGTCTAAAATATATTTAATTGATCAAAATAATTAAAAAAAATATGTATTTTTTTTGTCCAATCGGTCCAGACCGGTTCGGTCCTAAATATTTCGGTCCGGTCCGGTCCAAACTCGAGTAAATTTAGGTCCGGTCTTCGGTCCTTGAATTTACTCATTTTGGTCTTCGGTCTGGTCCGGGTCGGTCTGGTTCGGTCTGGTCTTAGACCGATGAACAGCCCCAGTCCCGTCGCCACTCCGTGAATGTCCATTATGCATAATTTAATGACTTTTGTGGTTTCGCTCTTATAATGTCCAATATCATTTTTAATGTCTACATGTCCATTGCCAAGGCATTGTCAGTTGAAAAATAGACATTGTCGCACTTATAAATGTCCACTACATTAGTCATCAATGTCCCTAATTACTAAACAATGTCCATAATTTTTACAATGTCACGGATCAGTGAACAATGTCAAGGAAAGAGAGAATTGATCGAAGGGAGAGATAAAATAGTCTATATTTTATGCGGAGTACATAATAATTAAGATATATACAAGGGTGTTTTAGTAAATGGATATTATTGATAATTTATTAATTAATTAATTTAATGTTAGTTTTGGAAAATGAATTTGTTCGGTGGCATTTAGAGAAAAAGTGTTAAGTTTTGGTGCTACTAGAAGCAAGTTTTACTAGCTATGTATATAGAATTTATAATATCACACCACAAAAATAACACCACGTTGTGACACAAGCGGTTTTGAGACACCTTCAATGCTCCATCCATAAAATTGATGGTTCTACCTCCCTAATCCCTCCCCCTCGGCCCATAAATTTCACCCCACCCCAGCCT